CAAGGTGCACCAGATTTGACGCCACCCACGCGGAAACACCCTCAATCCACATCCTTCCTCATCCACATCCTTACTCCACCCCGCCCGTCTCCCTTACCTCACGCTCCAGACCTCCCGACCAACTGTCTCCCCGACCTCTCGACCTTCTGTCCTCCCGACTCCTCACGGCCAATATGTTCCCATCCTGTTACATTATGTCCTCTGGTTTAACCCCTTGATTACGATGATAACCTCCCGAGTAAACCCATCATCGTACTCAAATGGATTAAGACATCCTACTCAAGGGACTAAGTCGTGGTTTCATTGATTATAGAGTTAAGCCATCGTACTCAAGAATTTAAGCCATGGTGTAAGTGGTAGTGAGGTAAAGCCATTGTACTTGAGTTATTCAGGCATCGTACTCAAGTGGTTCGGACATCGTACTCAAGAGATTAAAACATAGTACTCAAGGATTTCAGCCTTGGTATGAGTGGTGTTGAAGTGAAGACATAGTACTCGAGGGAGCTGAAAATGTCTGAAGCAATGGACCGATTCAGAGTACTCGTGGGATTCGTATCATGCTGGTGGGGCTGTTATTGGACTCAAGGGGGAAGGAAGAGTGATTGGAGGAGGGGGAGGAGAAGACATGGAGGAAGAGATGGAGATGGAGGAGGGGGGAAATGGAGGAGGGAAAATGGAGGGAGGAGGAGGGAGGAAGGAGAGATGGAGGAGGGGAAGGAGGAGATGGAGGAGGGAAGGAGGAGATGGAGGAGAGGGGAAGGAGAGATGGAGGAGGGGAGGAGAAGGAAGACATGGAGGAAGGGAGGAGATGGAGGAGGGGGGGGAGATGGAGGGAGGAAGGAGGAGATGGAAAGAGGAGATGGAGGAGGGGGAAGGAGGAGATGGAGGAGGAGGAAGAAGGGGAAATAGAGGAGGAGGAAGAAGAGATAGAGGAGGAAGAATAGGGAGAAAAGAGGAAGAAGAGGAGTCAAAAGAGATAACAGGGGAAGAAGAGTACACTCCACCTTTCTCCTCCCTGGCACAGCACCTCCCCCCACCACCCAAGTGCCTGGGGTGTCAACAAGGACCAGGTGGGCACCCAGGGGGCTCGACCACCACCCCCTCTCAACTCAGCCTACTCCTCCCTCCCACACCTGTAATAACGCCCACCGCCGCCGCCGCCCTCACTCTATTACCCCGGCACACCTGTACTTACCTTTTACACACCTGTGGTTAGCTTTACCTCAACTAAACCCGGCGGTAATGAGGGTTGCCTGTCATTAGTGGGCGCCTTTGTAAATCTCAAAATAGAGGTGAAGTCTTGAGGGAGTGTATAGGCCAGCCCCGACCCCTGTTTCTGTACTAATTAATTCAGCAATATTGACGAGTTGTTGGTTCGAGTTTGGGATGGATAGATAGATAGATAGATAGATAGATAGATAGATAGATAGCAACTTAAAAAAAATATATAATCCCGACCAAGATATAACATACACACAAACATTTTACTACAATTTTTTTAATTTTCCTCACCAGGTTGGCTCAAACATATTAATATTATATTTGTTATAGTTTACGTGTTACTGAGAATCATTATCTTTATTTTCCTGTCATTATCTTTATTTTATTCAATCATTATCTTTATTTTACTCAGTTATTATCTATATTTTACTCGGTCATTGTCTTTATTTTACTCAGTCATTATCATTATTTTACTCAGTCATTATCATTATTTTACTCAGTCATTATCATTATTTTACTCAGTCATTATCATTATTTTACTCAGTCATTATCATTATTTTACTCAGTCATTATCTTTATTTTATTCAATCATTATCTTTATTTTACTCAGTTATTATCTTTATTTTACTCAGTCATTATCATTATTTACTCAGTCATTATCATTATTTTACTCAGTCATCATCATTATTTTACTCAGTCAGTCTTTATTTTACTCAGTCATTACCTTTATTTTACTCAGTCATTATCATTATTTTACTCAGTCATTATCATTATTTTACTCAGTCATTTTCTTTATTTTACTCAGTCATTATATTTTACTCAGGCATTATCTTTATTTTACTCAGTCATTATATTTTACTCAGGCATTATCTTTATTTTACTCAGTCATTATCATTATTTTACTCAGTCATTATCATTATTTTACTCAGTCATTATCATTATTTTACTCAGTCATTATCATTATTTTACTCAGTCATTGTCTTTATTTTACTCAGTCATTACCTTTATTTTACTCAGTCATTATCATTATTTTACTCAGTCATTATCATTATTTTACTCAGTCATTGTCTTTATTTTACTCAGTCATTATCTTTATTTTACTCAGTCATTATCATTATTTTACTCAGTCATTGTCTTTATTTTACTCAGTCATTACCTTTATTTTACTCAGTCATTATCTTTATTTTACTCAGTCAGTCTTTATTTTACTCAGTCATTATATTTTACTCAGTCATTATATTTTACTCAATCATTATCTTTATTTTACTCAGTCATTATCTATATTTTACTCAGTCATTGTCTTTATTTTACTCAGTCATTTTCTTTATTTTACTCAGTCATTGTCTTTATTTTACTCAGTCATTATATTTTACTCAGTCATTGTCTTTATTTTACTCAGTCATTACATTTTACTCAATCATTATCTTTATTTTACTCAGTCATATTTTACTCAATCATTATCTTTACTTTACTCAGGCATTATCTTTATTTTACTCAGTCATTATCTTTATTTTACTCAGTCATTGTCTTTATTTTACTCAGTCATTATATTTTACTCAGTCATTATCTTTATTTTACTCAGTCAGTCTTTATTTTACTCAGTCATTATATTTTACTCAGTCATTGTCTTTATTTTACTCAGTCATTATATTTTACTCAATCATTATATTTATTTTACTCAGTCATTATATTTTACTCAATCATTATCTTTATTTTACTCAGTCATTATCTTTATTTTACTCAGTCAATATCATTATTTTACTCAGTCATTGTCTTTATTTTACTCAGTCATTACCTTTATTTTACTCAGTCATTATCTTTATTTTACTCAGTCACTGTCTATTTTACTCAGTCATTATATTTTACTCAATCATTATCTTTATTTTACTCAGTCATTATCTATATTTTACTCAGTCATTGTCTTTATTTTACTCAGTCATTATCTTTATTTTACTCAGTCATTGTCTTTATTTTACTCAGTCATTGTCTTTATTTTACTCAGTCATTGTCTTTATTTTACTCAGTCATTATATTTTACTCAGTCATTGTCTTTATTTTACTCAGTCATTATATTTTACTCAATCGTTATCTTTATTTCACTCAGTCATTATATTTTACTCAATCATTATCTTTACTTTACTCAGGCATTATCTTTATTTTACTCAGTCATTATCTTTATTTTACTTAGTCATTGCCTTTATATTACTCAGTCATTATATTTATTTTACTCAGTCATTGTCTTTATTTTACTCAGTCATTATCTTTATTTTACTCAGTCATTGTCTTTATTTTACTCAGTCATTGTCTTTATTTTACTCAGTCATTATATTTATTTTACTCAGTTATTATATTTATTTTACTCAGTCATTATCTTTATTTTACTCAGTCATTGTCTTTATTTTACTCAGTCATTATCATTATTTTACTCAGTCATTATCTTTATTTTACTCAGTCATTGTCTTTATTTTACTGTCATTATATTTATTTTACTCAGTCATTATCATTATTTTACTCAGTCATTATCTTTATTTTACTTAGTCATTATCTTTATTTTACTCAGTCATTATCATTATATTACTCAGTCATTATCATTATTTTACTCAGTCATTATCTTTATTTTACTCAGTCATTATCTTTACTTTACTCAGGCATTATCTTTATTTTACTCAGTCATTATCTTTATTTTACTCAGTCATTGCCTTTATATTACTCAGTCATTATATTTATTTTACTCAGTCATTATCTTTATTTTACTCAGTCATTGTCTTTATTTTACTCAGTCATTGTCTTTATTTTACTCAGTCATTGTCTTTATTTTATTCAGGCATTATCTTTATTTTACTCAGTCATTGTCTTTATATTACTGTCATTAAATTTATTTTACTCAGTCATTATATTTATTTTACTCAGTCATTATATTTATTTTACTCAGTCATTATCTTTATTTTACTCAGTCATTGTCTTTATTTTACTCAGTCATTATCTTTATTTTACTTAGTCATTATCTTTATTTTACTCAGTCATTATCATTATTTTACTCAGTCATTATCATTATTTTACTCAGTCATTATCATTATTTTACTCAGTCATTATCATTATTTTACTCAGTCATCATTATTTTACTCAGTCATTATCTTTAGTTTACTCAGTCATTATCTTTATTTTACTCAGTCATTATCTTTATTTCACTCAGTGATAGTCATTATTTTACTCAGTCATTATCATTATTTTACTCAGTCATTCTCATTATTTTACTCAGTCATTATCTTTAGTTTACTCAGTCATTATCTTGTGAGACATTTTAACAATTCATAATAAATATATTCTAGTGGCCGCCATGGTGCCCTTACACACACACACACACACACACACACACACACAGACTTCTTTTTGTAGTGATTGGCGCAATACTTAAAGGCCCCACCTCTCGTTTATAATGGCGTGTGTGTGTGAGTGTGTTGACGTCATGATAGAGTGAGTTGTTATCCTTCAACAGCCTGAGCACCGAGACGTTTGTGTGGCTGAAATATCAAGGTAAGAGAATTTTTCACTAAGAGGCGTGGCGGCGTCTAGTTTTTCCTGGGTTCATGCTTAGCCCAGGCCAGACCACAGTGTTGAGGTGAGGAGTGCTTAACCAACAAGTTCTCTTTCTTAAGTGCCTCACCAACAACACACTTCTTTTTTTTCTTTCTTTTTTTCCCCCCTACAAGTGCTCAACCAACAACACGTTTTCTTTCACGAGAGCTGAACTAACACCACATTTTCTTTCTACTTTCCAGGTCGGGACGGGTTGGGGATGGCAGAGGAGCAACAAGACCAGCATCGTCATCTACGTCATGTCACGACCAACTGTGTACACCTTAAAACTCAAGTCTATATAGTTCAGTGTTAAGTTTGAGGAGGAACTGGTGCGTGAAACACACCCTCCTCCTCCGCCACACACACACACACACACCTCAGTCTCACGGCCGGCAGCTTCTCCAACGAAGGATTTGTGGCCTTCTCTCCCCCCTCACCTCCCCTCATCCTTTCCCTCTCAAGTCCATCCACCCGGTTATTTAAACACACTCACACCATTCCTGGATACACTCACAACACACTCGAACCAACTCGTTCCGCTAAAAGGTATAATTCTTAGAGATAAAATACACTGGGTGGTAGCAGCTCTTTTTCACGCTTGACTCCCCAGCCCACCAGATCAGCTGATAGATTTGGCGGGAGAAAAAAAAAAAGGCTACCAGAGTACAAGTGTGGACAAACACAGCTGATTATCCTTTACGGCACGAGTTGTGTTGGAGGGTGTGGAGTGAGTGTGTTCCCAATGTCCAGCGGAGTTTAGGAACGGGTTAAATACTGTACTAAAATGTCTTCTTCTTCTTCTCTCTCTTACGCCAGCTACATACAGCCTCGCCTTTTACACCAATTTATACATCTGTTTCCTATCGTTTCACTATTATCATCTTTTAACGTCGTCATTTCTCCCAGTATTTTCTTTGTTTTGGCTTCGAATAGTTTTATTTTTTTTTGTTTTGAGAGGAAAAAAAAATAAGGTGATTATATTGTTATTTAATAGTATTTTCCAGGAATTATTTTTATACCTTGTATTAAGTTTCATTTACAACTCTTTCTAATGAGCAATAAAAAACTTAACACTAATGTTATGACGGATTTAGGTAGTGCAAAAAACTAACGTTCAGTACAATACACTATTTCTCTTTTAATACAACATCACTTCATCCCCGGCCAAAAGATACATTACAAGTTCACGTTGTCTTAGAAAACATTCAACATTGTACTCCAGATCAACGTAACAGTGTCCATGTTATTGTGTGAGCCACGACCATCACTGTGTAAATAACGAATAACAACATCCATGACACAACCGCTTGAGAACAATCACAGACGTGTGTCATTTTGTACTTAGCGAGACACGACCTACAGGTAGGTTAGTCTCCCCCCCCCACAAACATAACCTACAGGTAGCTCAGTCCCCCTCAAACATGACGTACAGGCAGCTCAGTCCCCCTCAAACATGACGTACAGGTAGCTCAGTCCCCCTCAAACATGACGTACAGGCAGCTCAGTCCCCCTCAAACATGACCTACAGGTAGCTCAGTCCCCCTCAAACATAACCTACAGGTAGCTCAGTCCCCCTCAAACATGACGTACAGGCAGCTCAGTCCCCCTCAAACATGACGTACAGGTAGCTCAGTCCCCCTCAAACATGACGTACAGGTAGCTCAGTCCCCCTCCCAACCATGACCTACAGGTAACAGTCCCCCCTCAAACATGACCTACAGGTAGCTCAGTCCCCCACCCAAACATGACCTACAGGTAGCTCAGTCCACCTCCAAACATGTTGTACAGGCAGCTCAGTCCCCTCAACCATGACCTACAGGTAGCTTGGTCCCCCTCAAACATGACATTGCAGGTGGCTCGGTCCCCCCCTCAAACATGAGCTTGACCTGAGTAGCTCAGTCCCCCTCAAACATGACGTACAGGTAGCTCAGTCCCCCTCAGCCATGACCTACAGGTAGCAATTTACCTCAAACATGACCTACAGGTAGCTCAGTCCCCTCAAGCATGACCTACAGGTAACTCAGTCCCCTCAAGCATGACGCATACAGGTAGCTCAGTCCCCCTCAAATAGGAAGCAAAAAAAAAGTCTCCTTACCCCCCCCAAACACGGCCCACAGACCCCCAAGTTGCACACATTACAGCCAAAAGTCCCAACACTGGACATTGCCCTCATCTTTACCTGCGGGTTATATAATACTGACTTTAGTGGTGCTTACTTTTTTTTCATTCTGCAATTTCAATGTCAGAATTCCATGAAAAACATTCTATAATATAAATCACTCGTGTAAACAGTTAAAATACCATTAATAGCCCCCCCCACTCAACCCCACCCTTACCCACCCCACCCACCCCACCCACCCACCCCCACCCCACCCCCACCCACCCCCCCCTCACCTCACCCCACCAAACCAACAAGTAAATGCCAGATATTGCCAAAAGCATCCAGAGGAAATTGCTCCATAATAGTTTCGTATTGAATGTTTTTTTGTGTTTTTTCCCTTAACAAAATGCTACACTATTTTTGTCCCGTGTCACAAGCATTAAAAACCCCAACATCCCAAGCGTAATATTTATCACATTAGTGGATATGAATGCACAGAGAAATACCCAGTGATAATTTTTTTGTGTTCCAGCTTAATTATAATCATTCCATTGTGTCATCCCATCCTTCTCAACACACACACACACACACTCGTCAGATAACATTCCTTCACGCTAGGAGCACAGCACGTGATAATAATAATGTTGACCGTTGATGAAAGTGTTAAGAGGATATTATTAAAGATGTTGACCGCACAGGAGGCACAAGAAATAGGTCGAACACATTAATTATTTACACGTAATCAAAGGTGGCAGGCCAGTCAGTCCGTCCAAATACTGATCCAGTTACAACCAAAGTCTTCGAAAACCCCGAGTCAACAACACTACCGCTAATTCGTGTCCTGGGTTCGGTAAGGTAAATATTACTTTCTAAAATAGTCAAGTTTATCTCCAGGTATATTTAGTAAAACATTGCGGTTATCTTTCATTATTAGTTTTTATTATTTAGATTATTAATGGTAGAACGAGAATTATTTCCCGCCAATTTACAGTTTGTTTTTCCACCGCCATATTTGCTTAGGCGTTGCATAACAATAACAATAACAATAACACACACACACACACACACACACTCAACAATTCCTCACATGTATTTTATATAGAGTTTGTTAAATACATTTCGTGCATATTTTCCTTATGAATCATGACACATTAAAGAACAAACACAACACTTTATATAGGCCTAATATTTTCTTTAGACCTAAGACATACGACATAAAACATACATATTGTGTATATTTTTCTCCTGGTTCCTAATTAAGCAATAACAATAATACCGAGTTGGGTGAATAAATGTAATTGATGATAAGTACTGGAGAAAAAACTTTGGGTAATATTTCCTTTAAAGTTCATCTTGTTGACGTCTTTCTTGGACACACACACACACACACACACACACACACACACACACACACACACACACACACACACACACATACATACATACATACATACATACATACATACATACATACACACATATACATACATACATACACACAATATGATCTGGAGGGAATTACAACACCCCCTCACCACAATTAACTCTTTTTAGTGCCACAGTCCACTCCGTAATTACGACCCGAATTGTTTGTCAAATATAGTCATTAAGGTTATTGAACGGCCGGCTAAGTACAGTCATTACCGTCCCTTAATACCTTGACATATACTTATTATTGTTATTGGAGGAGTATCTAGCCTCCTTCACCCCCCCTACCTCACCCCCCGCCCCCTCCCCCCTCGAGGCACGACAGGCTGGAATTTCATGGTCATTGTTGTTATCTGAAGTAACTACACTATCGTCCACACGGGATAAGTAATTACTGTTTATTAAGGGTCATATCACAGGGGGGGAGGGAGGAGGAGGAGGAGGAGGAGGAGGAGAGGAGGAGGAGAGGAGGAGGAGGAGGAGGAGGAGGAGGAGGAGGAGGAGGAGGAGGAGGAGGAGAGGAGGAGGAGGAGGAGGAGGTTATCAACAATGAAGGCATGATGATGATGGAACGTGTGTGGTGTAAATAAAGTCGCAGATGAGTGTCTGTATGGGGCTTCTTACAAATTAAAGTTATACTATATAATCCGGGTAGACACAGCCTATGATTTTTGAGGGACCAATAAAACATACATACATACATACATATATACACACACACACACACACACACACACACACACACACACACACACACACACACACACACACCTTAGGTTAAGTTAGGCTTAGGTAGGTTAGTTTGGGCGTATAGTGGCTTAAGTTTGTGTTGCTAGGAGACAGTTGGTGTCTGTTGGGGTTAGGTTAGGGGTTAGGTTAGGTTTGGTTAACGGAACCCACGACACCAACAAATCCGCTGGCCAGAAAGTCGGGCAAAACCGCTTAATAAAACCAACACGCCAACACTCTCCTGGACTATCACTCTTACTGACTTTGTGACACACACACACACACACACAGCACATACATACACACACACACACACACACACACACACTCTTAGCTTCTCAAGAAAGTAATATGAAGAGCCCAGCGGAGTGCTTGCCCGTGCCTACATACAACCATCGACAGCGCAGGATGTATTAAACCTTACTAATGAACGCTCTCGAGGAAGAAAAACTGCGCACTAGAAACCAGTAAATGCGCAGATAGAGGTCAGGTGGTGGCCGCTATACTGAGCGGCAGTGAAGGTGACACTGAATCTACTGAGGTGGACACACACACACACACACACACACACACACATCGTTACACACACTCAGGTAGTTAGGTATCCATTATCTAGTTAACCTGGTTGACAAGACCTCTCAAATACTAGCCTCTTCCATCTCCTATTCCTTCTCCTTCTATTCCTCTTCCTCCCCCTCACACCAGTGAAGCCAGAAGCTCAATTCCCCCGTCAGGGAGACTCAAGAAGAGGAGGAGGAGAAAGAGGGGGGGGGGAAGAGGGGGTCCCAGCAGATAATGAGCGGGCAGGTGAGAGCCGCGGCGCCCTCTATGTTGACTTGGTGAGTTATAACACCTGTATCCTGCCTCCCTCCCCCTACCCCCTCCCTCACACCTATCTCTCCTCCTTCCCTCACACCTCTCTCTCTGTGTCGTGACTACACCCTCGCCACTACACCTTCCCTCTCTACACCTCACCCCTTTTGTCGTGACCACACTCTCCACCTTTCTATACTCTCCCTTGATCTAACATCCTGGGCCCCTCCTCACTCAGTCAGGTGAGAGGTGAGGGAAGGGTGTGAAGAAATGAAGGAAAGGTGAGGGAGGGGTGTGCGAGGTGAGGGAGGGGTGAGAAGAGGTGAGGGAGGGGCGTGAAGAAATGAAGGAGAGGTGAGGGAGGGGTGAGAAGAAGTGAGGGAGGGGTGTGAAGAAATGAAGGAGAGAGGTGAGGGAGGGTGTGCGAGGTGAGGGAGAGGTGTGCAGAGGTGAGGGAGGGGTGAGAAAAAGAGAAATGAAGGAGGTGAGGTAGGGGTGAGAGAGGTGAGGGGAGGGTGAGGAAGAGGTGGGGGAGGGTGTGAAAGAGGTGAGGGAGGGATGAGAGGTGAGGAGGTGTGAAGGAAATGAAGGAGAGGTGAGGGAGG